TTTTGTTGACCTTTGTCCATGGAAGGTCCCTGCAAAATTTCATTGAAATTGGTTCAGGGGTTTTGGAGAAGAAGTCGAAAATGTAAATTGTTTACGGACGCATGACGGACGACGACGATCGCAATAGGTCACTTGAGACTTTGTCTCAGGTGACCTAAAAAGCCTGGTGCAATGTAATCCTACAGAAAACCCTAATATACATTTGTTATCGATACAACCTTGACGATTCTATTATTTGTAACAGTGACCTTGACCTTTAAGAACCATAACCACTATGCATAGGATTAACAGTAACCTTGACCTATGATGAACCATACCCCAAATTAATAGTTCCTAGGGCATTCCACACATCAAGTTTCAATTTTGTGTGGTTATTCATTGTGAAATTTTCCTTTTAGTTACAGTGACATTGTTCTCTGATGGACCATGCCAAAATCAATAGGGCTGTTGTTCCTCTCTTAGACAACCCAAAAACCAAACCTGAGCATTGTACGACCATCTGTTATAAAGTTTGATTTTGGATAAGGAATTACTATTTTTGTTATTAAAACCATAAACTAACAATCAAAATTGATAGCCTAGGGTTGTACCTCCCCACAACTGCTACCCACATAGCAGGTCTGAGATTCATGCAATCATTTGTTCTGAAGCTAGGATCTGGATGTCAAAAAGTATTTTTAGTAACCTTGACCTTTGATGAATCATGCCCAGAATGAACCCAGATCAACCCACAAACAAAGTTTAAGCTTTGTGTGATCGTACCATCCTGACTAAAAAATGGAGGAAAGATGGACAGACTTTCCACATGATTGCTTTATCTCCTTAAAATTCATTTTGGAAGGATAAAAAGCTGGGCATTTGGATGAATCGTTTACATCTGGCTGCTATATATATAACAGCACACAATGCAGTCTACTAATCAGAAAATATAATCTTCCAAATCCAAACTGAAAGAAATTGTCTTCAGCTGATTTGACCAGCTAATTTATGATTATATTAGGAATATATTATATGTTTAGTACTTAATGCCTACAGGTAATTTTAATTTCACTTATCATGCAGGAATGTTAACAACATGAGAAGCAAAGGATCTGTAAGATACATACTTTTGGTACAGCCGCCTGAAAGACAAAATCGGCCATTGAGGTGGCTGTGGAATTGGTGGCTTTGACATTGACTGTGATAATGTGATCCTGTGCTTCATCTCGCTCACACATAAACTCAATTAACAGGCCATTCTTATTAAACGCTGTTAAAGTTTCTAACCCTGCAAAGACAAACGAACAAAATTATAAGACGACAAGTGAACCAAAAATTGCTTCATTAATGTGAAAGTAAATACATGTACAACTGAAATTTCTAAATAAAAAATATATATTCAAAGTATCTTTTAATACTTTATTACTCAATAACCTTATTTATGAAATATAAATACAACACAATAGACTTGTGTGCATCAAATTTGATGTAGTTCAATCTTAGTTCAAACTGAAATTTCTGAATAAAAAAAGTTATTCAAAGTATCTTTTAATACTTTTTTACTCAAAACCTTATTTATGAAATATAAATGCGACACAAATATAACTTAAGACATGTGTGCATCAAATTTGATGTAGTTCAATCTTAGAATAATAACACTTTTAGAGAAATAAAGGCTATAAAATATGAAAAGACAAAAACAAGTTATGGTTTCCTTCCAAATACAATAACATTATACAGAAACATACCTGTTGTTCCACCGTTCATCTGGGCACTAGGTGTTGTGGCACCTAATAAACTGTCCATCAAATTGTGATTGGGGGCAGGAACCATATTGTTTACTGGAGGAAAGAGAAAATAATGCCTTACTAAGATAAACAATTAAATGAATGCGAAACCAAAAACACCTTGAAACTGCATTTTTATATAAACTTGAAACAACTAAGAAAATTTTGTTAGATCTTGGATAAAATAGATGTCGAAACAATTTACATGTATACAACATGAAACCAAAGATTTCCTAGAAACTTTATCTTTTAAAACTTGAAACACCAGAGATATTTCAAATCATAGAGAAACCAGATGTCAAAACAACTTATATGAATTCAATATAAAACCAAAAATTTCCTGGAAACCTTCTCTTTATTACTTGAAACACTAGGATATTTCAACGTCTTGGATAAACTAGAAGTCACTGTGTAGTTCATTTAAGACATCTATACTACAGTCTAAATATGACACTCGTGCAAAAATGTCTTTTCTTTCTGAAAATGTTTTGTTCATATACTGATGCCCTGTATTATCTGGGCAAACAAGGGGGATATTATATTAAAGTAGATATAAACGGTTCCATAATTGCTGTAACATAAAGGTTAATACCTGGATTGCCGGAAGCAGCATTTGCTACATCCCCTAAGAGGTCCAGGAGGTCATTGGCTCCCGCTGATTTGGAGGGTCCTGGGTTGATAGGTATCACCGGTGAAGGGCCAAGGTCCCCTAAAAGGTCTAGTATATTTTGACCCTAGAAATGGTTAGACAAAAAAGTTTAAAGCACTTCATGAATAATATAAAAAAAAAATGGAACTTTTTCATCATTTTGTTAAAATTGAATTTTGCTAAATGAATGCAGTACTTTTTTTACCCTAGAAATAGTTGTAGAAAAAAGTTTAAAGCATATATTCGAATTTTGGAAACTTTCATAATTTAATAAAAAAAAACATTTTTTGCTGATGATTGCATATTTACATACAAAGCTGGATAACATTGTAATATTTAAGTATATTTTTTACAGGTATGTATGCAATGAATAGATTGCAGTACAATCCAGTATTTGTTTACCTCTGTCTGGTGTGTGCTCTGTTGTGTGCTCTGTTTTGCAGTATCTAGAAGTTTTATACCAACATCGCCACCTCCTGGTTTCTCGGAGTTAAAGAGATCCATTTCATTACCCATTCCCTCGTCCTCATTAGATAACATGTTTTTACTTCGACTTTTCTCAATCAAAGGCATCTGTTCCAATAATGCTGACCTGAAAAGAAAAGCCAAACATGTTTCTTACTGTTCCAAATTTTCATACAATTTGTAAAAGTATTAAAACGAATATAATGTTCTGCATTAATGATATCAGAAAAAAACCACAAAAAATCATTGGCAATATATATGTTCCATTGTACAGAGTAAAAAATCTGGTCTTACCTCATGTGGTCAAACTTTGTGAAGACAGATGTGTACTCTACAGACCTCTGCTGTAACTCCACATTGACACTTGTACTGTAATACTCGATCAACTTCTTGATTCGTCTACAATACCAACATGCACAACATAGAAAGTGTTAGAGCTAATTGAATATCTATTCCCAGGACTGCTACATGTACAAGGACTTGAAGCTGAAGTACTTAGATTATTATGTGCAAAGTTCATTTGCTTGAGAAACTGTAATTCATAAATACGATGAATTGAAATACCTGACATTCAACAGCTAATTAGCAACTAACATTACCTAAACCAAAGAAATGGTGATTATGGAAATTCTGCTGTTGAATTATCACCAAACATATTAGAGTGGAGTTTTACTTAATAAGAATACAAATTATGAAACCAATCTGACACTTAGCAGTACATTGGAAGATAATTAAATACAGGTGATAATTTTGTTAATGAATAATTCAGTTTTCTTTAAATTCTCTTTTGCTTTGGAGAACATTTCAGTGTGTAATCAAATTGTGTTATATTACACTGAAGAATTGTCCTCCAAGCTGCTATGTAGGCAGAACGGAAACATTGCGGCTGCTGCAGACTTTCTTATCAATTATTGATTACTCACCCCATTGACGTTCTAAATCTGGAGCTAAGCTTCATGATTGCTGTGATACAGTACTCCTTGGTGACCTCTGTAGAGTTGTTGTTGGTAAGGACCTTCTCTAACACTATCACCACCTCCTCTTCAGTGAACTGGGAAGAAAAGTTATCACACTTTTAATTCATTGATTTTTCAAAAGTTAGTTCAACAATTATTCTGATCTAATTATCCCATTTAATAATGGTATTATTAAACCTTTTAATTTAACTCTTTGTCTTGCTCCATAATAATCCTTGTCTATGCTGATCTTACTGTGTGCCACGGTGGTGGCAGATTACACCCCCTGTGTAACTTAAGCAGACTCTGCCATGCATTGATCTGGATGAGTCCATTATGGTCTACAGTGGTGAAAGGGTTAGTTAACAGGAGATGGAATCTGCGAAATTTTTCTTTTAGATTTAAGCATATTACATCACTGGCCATTTTTCTTATCGCTTGTTTCCTAAAGAATTCAAGATGGAATTCAATACAAGGTTTATCACTTTTACAATGTGTTATAAACTAATTTATATTTTTTTGCAGCACATTTTAATGGTCAATGTTTTCAGTGACTTTATTCAGTTACACATCAAGAATGGAAACAGTTCACAGGTAACTTCAAAGCAAATGAATTAACTTATAAAACAGCATTGATCATGCTGAGAAGCAACAGATTGGAAATCAATAACAAACCTTGAATTTAAAATCAAAATGCTAAACTTTGTTTATATTTCTCGGTGGCCTGGTATATATAGGCGAGATATTACATTATACAGCAGGCAAGGAGATTAAGAAAAGTCCTAACACTGGTGTACCTGCATGGGTTCCTCCTCGTCAGGTTGGTCCAACAGCAACTGTTCCCCGTACTCCCCTATACACCAAGTAGCCACTTGTGTGAGGGGCTGTTGTGTGATGTCACACTGGAGCTGTTCGAACATGGTCTTCACCGTGTAGCCATGCAAGGAGGTTGTCTCCGCTATTAGTTGGATCAATAATGACACCATGTCATCTTGTACATAGTTTCCAGCCTGAAAGTTATATCCATTTATTAACATATTGTCAAAGAAACAGTTTTTAAAACTTATTTTCTCAATCAACTCGTTCATGCATTGTTCATTTTAAATAACTTTTTGATGCATTTTACAGATCTTTGGTTATCTGCCGATATAGTTTTGTTGGTATTGAGACAAAAATAAAGTGAGCGTATCTAGGAAATCCCCTCGAACCCTTTTAAGTGGTAAAGCATGAACTCTTTGAGTGATGACCACCAAACTCCATAAGTGGGATGTAATTTCACCTTTGACCACCAAACTCCTTAAGTGGGGTGTAATTTCACCTTTGGCATAGTTCTGACAAGTAATTAAGTAATTAAACTGAAAAGGGATAACAGGATTACATGTGCCTATCGCTATGGTCCCTTACCGTGGTTAGAACCTTTACGATCGTGTCTATATGCCAACGCTTGTTTGGAGAGTGTCTGGAAAAAAACAAAACAAAACTGCTCAGTACAACACTCTCATTTCAAATTGTCACACTTATTTTGCAGTTTCCCATTAGAAATCATTACAAATAAATGTCATTTTCATCTTGACAGAATAAGTAGCAGTATTCAATAAGATTGGCATCAACTATTCATATTTGCTATTTATAATGTCTCTTTACTTTTGTAACAATGCAATAATGAACTGGTTATTCTTTTTTCCATACCGCTCCATTTTAACTCATATGACACTGTAAAGCTAAGTGTACACTACATTTCACTGCTGCTTACTATATAGATTTCAGTATACGTTTTACTGCTAGATTTTGGGGGATTCTTAAAAAGTGTCTTATATAAAGATCATGGATTGATATTTTATAATATCCGAGTGATTATACCTTTTTGATGATTTGTAAAAACTGGCTTATAAACATAATCCATTAATGTTTTTTGATATGCAATTATGAATTATATATGATGTACTGAACCAAAAGCTGATTTCTGTCTATCTGTTTATCATATCACATTTGAAATACCAGTAACTTGTGCTGAATAACAGAGAAAGCACATCAGATTAAAACCATTTCAGTCAATGTTCTTATTTTTTTTTTTTTTTATTTTTTTTTGAATTTATACCCGAAAACAAAATCAAGAAAATTTGCAACATTAACAGAGATTTACCAGTGAAGCTGTAATAACAGCAGTTTATTTTCGTCGGGGAATTGAAACTTTTCATTAGGATACTGGTGATCAAATAAATCTTGAAAGAACAGCAACAACTCATGATCAATGACAAAACACAGTAAGACAATAAACCTGTTACATACTTTTCAGCGACTAAGATTATGTTAGAGCTAACATCGGCCTTGAACTCTGGGTCACATGTTTCTAAAAAGTGTAGAAGCTCTTTCATCATGCCACGCACATTTCCAGTATTCACTAATGCAAAAGACAGTTCCATGGCACGCCTGAAATGTCAGTTTGGTCAAATAACTACACAGTACACACCACTTCGGAATTTCTGCAATATCCTTCAATTATTTCAATTTTCAAAAAGGAATTCATGGTCAAACAAATGTACTAACTAGTTAGTTCTCTCTGTAGATGTACAATAATCTTTAATAGCAGTTTACATATTAATTTACATCAAAAATAAATTATTATTTTTTACCCTATTTTCTACTTTAAGGATTTATACTTTACATAAATATTAAGCACATAATTATAAATCAAAACAAGCAACTTCAGAAATTCCTACTCTTTACAAAACTCGACACATACTTCCTAATTGAAATGTCAGGGTCTTTGAGACAATCCACTATTGTTGTTCTGTGTCTCTGTACGGCATTATAGTCAGCTTGTACCACTCGTAATAATGTGTTCAAGGCTACGTATCTGTAAAGGTCACACATCATATATATTGTACAGTAGTGTCTAATATTTTAAAACAATTCATGACACTTTCCTTGAAACCACAATTATCTTAGTGTATAGTATCAATAATATCTACATTAGATAGTTCATTAACATTTTATAGATATTACAGTAAAACACAATCAACATTATATAGATATTACAGTAAAACACGATCAACATTATATAGATATTACAGTAAAACACAATTAACATTATATAGATATTACAGTAAAACACGATTAACATTATATAGATATTACAGTAAATTAACATTATATAGATATTACAGTAAAACACGATTAACATTTTATAGATATTACAGTAAAACACGATCAACATTATATAGATATTACAGTAAATTAACATTATATAGATATTACAGTAAAACATGACCAACATTATATAGATATTACAGTAAATCAACATTTTATAGATATTACAGTAAAACACGATCAACATTATATAAATATTACAGTAAAACACGATTAACATTATATAGATATTACAGTAAATTAACATTATATAGATATTACAGTAAAACACGACCAACATTATATAGATATTACAGTAAAACATGATTAACGTTATATAGATATTACAGTAAATTAACATTATTGATAGTGTATTAGGATTTCAAACCACAATTCTTTGAAACTTAAAAATAATTTCAAGGAGAAAGACATCTATCAGATTTGAAAGAAATATGAATAAATTTTAAAACTGAAATAATGATAAAACTCACCTGATATTTTTATCATTGTTCAATAAGAATCTGCCCAAAATGTTTACGGCTAGTACCTACGAAGAAAATGGAAATATTTTCAACATAATTGGTTCATTTTAGCATCTTTGTCATAAGTTCTGTTATAAATGAAAAGAAAGGCAATGTGCTGTATATAACTGAACTTAGTGTTGCCATAGGAGAGTATATGAGAAAGACTTTTACACCTTAATGTTAGCCAGGGAAATCACATTATTAGATTTACTATTAACAAGAGGCCCATGGGCCTTAACGGTCACCTGAGTCTACAGTATTATTTTTTTTGTTGAAATATGTACCAATTTGAGTAAAAAATAGTATAATGTTAACTTAACTTTGTCAGGACCATGAGCTGATCATTCCTAGACCAATTTTAAGTGAGATCGGCCTATTAGAATTTAGTAGCAAAATAGCGGCCATGGCAGCCAAATTGTATTTCTGATTGACCCGAAAAATAACAACACTTTGTCAGGACCATGAGCCGATCATTCCTACAAAGTTTCAGTTCAATCGGCCTAGCAGAACTTGACTTTAAGTTTGAAATAGTTTTTCAAAATGGCGGCCGTGGCGGCCATATTGGATTTCTGATCGACCCGAAAAATAACAACACTTTGTCAGGACCATGAGGCGATCATTCCTACCAACTTTCAGTTCAATCGGTCCAGCAGAACTTGACTTTAAGTTTGAAATAGGTTTTCAAAATGGCGGCCGTGGCGGCCATATTGGATTTCTGATCGACCCGAAAAATAACAACACTTTGTCAGGACCATGAGGCGATCATTCCTACCAACTTTCAGTTCAATCGGCCCAGCAGAACTTGACTTTAAGTTTGAAATGTAAAATGTTAACGGACGACGGACGACGGACGACGACGGACGAAAACGGATAGCAATAGGTCACTTGAGCTAAAGCTCAGGTGACCTAATAAGACAGATAACAATGGCAAACCATAGCACTGTACTGCGATTCTGAAGCCAGAGCAAAACTGTAGTAAATTAGTCAAGTTAACAGTGTAGCAGATAAAAATAAATGGTGTTGAGCTACAAATTAAGAAAGGATCTCTATAAGATGTATGTGGAACACTTACCCTTAGACCAGCTTCAGACTGTATACCCATGATGGTAAGGACAATCTCATACAGGATAGCATGCCCAACATTCTTACTGGTGTCTGTGTTTGTGGCAACCTGCAAAAACAGCCAGGAAATCTCACATGCTATAGTTTGAAATACTTTCTTTAAAATCAGTAAATAAACAAGAGGTTCAAGGGACTTAATTGATCACAAATTCTGATTCACGTGACTTTAAAAGTGGGCCAATGTAAAACAACCTATCAGGGAAATATCCTTAATTAAGGCTCTGTCAATAACTTTTTTTTGAGATTTTTTTTTTTAAGAAAAAAGTTGACTTGAAAATTTACTTCTATTTTCTTTAATTTTTAACGCCCTAGACCACAGGGTTACCTAGGGTTATATACCGGATACAAACTGACAACAGATAGTGCAAGCAGCACAGACTACATCAGATTCTTTACAGTTTTTAAACCAGAATATAGTCAACTGCTGATATTATGTCCTTACATCCTTAACCATTTCACCCCTATGTAACTTTAGTAGACTCCACCATGAATTGATCTGGATGAGTCCATTTTGGTCTACAGTGGTGAAAAGGTTAAAATTTTCCAAGGTTTCATTTCGACAGAAAATAATTGGGAATGAGTGAATTTTACAGACCATACTTTGGCAAGTACTTTGTAATAGACCTACCTGGGCAAGCAATTTTACAGATCATAACAAGACAATTGATTTGAATAGAACATACCTGGGCAAGGATGTCGTTCATTGTTTCACTTGCTTCTGTGTCATTCTTTCCAAGTATTCGCAGGAGTCTCAAAATCTTGGCCTGTAAGAAAGCACATTATACAAATAAACCTGTTGGTTAAATACATTTCGTTACATATGATTATCTTTATATTTTACTAAGAAATGCAAAAATCCTTTAACTCATTCACCCCTGAAATTTCATGAACTATTCCAACCTTTGCATTGGAAGAGTTCAAATGTGTCTTCAGGGGTGAATGAGTTAATACCAGATACTGATATTCATTATGTAGTTAGCAACTCTTAAATTTTAGTCTAAGAACATCATTTACTTTTGTTTCTATCATCAACTGGTCATAATATGCTAATCAATGTAACCAGAGTATTCCGTTATTGTGGTCCACTGGTTTACATTACCTGTAGGAAGGGATCGCTGACACCAGAAACGTCGTGTTCAGGTGAGTACCCTGCCATGATCAGGTTCTTCAGAATGCGCACCAGCTGTGGTACAGTCTGGAGATATAGGAAAACACGGAAATTATATCTTCACATATTTATAGCATTGCAAGGTAAGGTATAGATCAATAAGCATGCGCAACACAACCTATATCAATGTAATGGGCATCACATTCTAAGCTCCAAAATAAGAGTATTGCAGGATTGCAGATAGACAACTTTGTGTTAGATACTATGGAGATAAAGTGTGAGTAAAACTATCTTTAGATATATGTAGATAATTGAAAATTCATGCTTAACACAATTCTGTGACACTGTATTGATGAATTAACGTAACAAATTAAGATATTATTTAATAGAATCCCTTAAAAAAACACCAGTGTCTAACTAATTATCTTGTTTGAATGAGATTAAATGAAATAATAAATCAGATAGAAGATAAAGCAGTGCATGCACCCGACCCAGTATGTTAGATTTAATACCGAAGGATTGCTATGATGTAGAAATGAACAGGAAACAAGACCAGTCATGCAGCTGGAGGCAAGCTATATTTTGACTCGGTGATACAATTCTGATCACACCGACATTATAAATGTCAGTCTAAAAGCTAAAATATAATTTTCTTACCATAGTGCAAGCAGTAGATATTATGATTAATAAAAACGCCATGCCGAAAACGAAATGGTGGATATTGACATGTAGAAAATTATAAACCATAGTCATGCCAATCTTCTAATAACTCCAGGAAACTGTGAAACTAAAGATCAAGCCTGCTTCTGTACATGTTACTGTTACACCGACAGAACCCACAGTTAACAATACCACCTGGCTTCCTTATAAACCAAATGCCAATTTAAAGGTCCTCAATTCCACACGACTCAGTTTTTCAGAAACAGTACCAAAGATTCCTCCTTGAATTTAGAAAATACAGTACAAAATATGTACATGGGTAGGAACCCATTGTGTGTTCTATTACAAACTGTACGTCCTCAAATGACCTTAGCTGTTGATAGGATATCAGACCCTATAAAACTAAAACCAAATTACAAACTGTAGAATCTGCATCTTGTATACTGTACACTTTTTCTGAGAACATCGATACTAGTGTGAATTGGGACCTCCATCGTATAAAATATCCAAAAGGATGCAGCCTGCCCGAGGGCACATGCTATAACAAAACCTGCGTTACCCTAACCTTCCGGAAGTGGTGCAGAGTGTCTGGGCTACGCTCACACATCTCTGTGATCAGACACACAGATGTGAGAAGAACTCCTGAAATATACAATAGTAATAAACCATGTAAAGACCAATCTGTTATACAAGTATGTCACTAACATTTTATGGAGTTTTTATTTAAACTCCTTAAATTTGATTTCTGTTGGATTAACATTTAAGTATGATTCAACTGTTGCACATAATTAAATACAGAAAAAAAGTTTCAGGAATAAAACCACGAAATTTAAACATTCAAAAACATATCTTTTTTATGGTATGATCCCATTTTTTTAAGACATATAGTTATATCTCTGACAGCTAGTTAGAGGTCTTGTTATATGCTTGATCAAAGTTTAATTCCATGTATATCTGCATTACACTGTTTTGATATTAATTTAATTGTCAATAAAAAGTCATTAATATTGGATTAAAATTCTAAAGTACATTAAACAATCTATTTTCGTGAAGTGCCAAGGTTATTTTTTATTACAACAAAATGAATTACCATGGTTTTTCTCATTCAATAATGTCCTGGTAGCAGGGATGAACATCTCCATGAGATCTGGAACTTTCCTTATAATGCAAAATGCACTCAGTATTGCCTAAAACACAAAAAACAATGAGTACACCTTGGATCCTTTGACAAGGAAATATAATACATTCTAAAGCAAAACCATAATTAACTGGGAAAATAAAGAAAGGTCATATCAGCACAAGTAGGGAAGGCATGCTCTACAATCCATATATATATATCTTAAAGTTATAATGTATCCACATAATAGTTCACAGCCAATAAAATCTTGATTCTCAATTTCATGTTTTTTCTTTTGAAATTATACAGCAGCCTGTTCATACATCAATTGGGGAAAAAATATATTCCACATTTCCCCCTACATTTTGTGAAAATAAATCACTTTTTGCTAGGGTTAGCAGCCTGTATTTTCGGCTGTAGAACTAGGCAAAACAAAATCACTGCAATTTCACAGCACCTTTTAATGAATGATTGCATGGCATATTTGATTTGAATATGGTTTTTGATCTTCACAACAACTATTATTACCCAATAGTCTATATAAATTAGAATTAGTCCTTTTTGACTGTTTCTGGCTTTTTGTCCAATTTCGGCTGTAGGGGCAAAACAGTCAAAACTGTTTTCCCAGTCAGAGCGAACTGTTACAAATTTGATGCGCCGAAATCTCCCCTTGAGAGCCAAGTTCAAGCGTTTATTTGACCTCAGCATTGATACTAAAATATCTATTTGGTAATAAAATCAGTCAAAACTATCATCCCTCGGTAGGGGGAAGCCCTGTGGAACTGTTTGCCCGAGGCCGTTCCCTAGGGCTTCCCCCTGCCTCAGGATGATAGTTTTGACTGTTCCCAAAATAGCCATGAAACAATTGTATAATGTTATATATAATACCAGTATGTATGTCAAACAGCATTGTGTAATGGGTTATTTTATTCTGCTGGAATACATTTGATATCAATCCCAAGATACAACAAGAGATCCCAGAGGGATCTTGGCGCCCACCTTTGTACCATCTTCATTAGTTCTTTGTTAGTTCGATCTTTTCTCTTCTTTCCTCTAATCTGTTAAATCGAGTCATGTTAACAGTAAATGCACCTTGAGGGAACTTTTGATCTAAACTTAATACTGATGTGTATGAAATCCAACCTTCAAAGTGAGTTTGTCATTTCACATATTTACTAGTACAGTACTTAATGTGAAAGAAATAGAATCAATCATTGCAATATGAGAAAGATCTGTTTAGTTCTTCTTTTAATCCATTTTGTTTTTATGATCAGTCTCAAAATATAATATACACAATGAGGGATCAAGGGGAACCTACATTTAAAATTTGAGAAAGATCCCTCCCGTAATTTCAGAGAAATAGCGGTAACAAACTTTCACTATCAAAATCCAAGATGGCTGCCTGTCGGCCATGTTGTTTATCCGATCAGTCTCAAAAATTGCCCTGCACAGCTTAGGACCAAGGGGAACCTACATATAAAATTTGAGAAAGATCTCTCTGATACTTCTCAAGAAATAGCGATAACAAACTTTCAATATCAAAATCAAAGATGGCTGCCTGTCTGCCATGTTGATTATCCGATCAGTCTCAAGAAAATGGGCTGCACAGCTAAGGACCAAGGGGAACCTACATATAAAATTTGAGAAAGATCCCTCTGGTACTTCTTGAGAAATACTGATAACAAGAATTGTTTACGGACGGACGACGGAAAACGGACGACGGACGCAGGGTGATTTGAATAGCCCACCATCAGATGATGGGGGGCTAAATATATTGAAAATGTTCACTAGCCCCCCCCCCATCCCAAAGACATATGCCCATCTGTATTTATTTGAATAATAATAACATGGCTAATTTTTACCTTTTTCTTCACATAAGCGTTGGATGATTTTATCATCTTTTCGATCTCCCCTGCCAAGTCACGGCTCATCTCTGTGGAACAGATGGAACCAAGTGTACACAGGGCAAGGCTCTGAATATACTGGGTTTGATGGCTAAGGTCACTGAAACACAAACATATCACATGATCACTCGTCAACCAAGTTTTGTGCAAGTTCAAGTTTCAAGCTTTAAATCATATTGGAAACTGGTTCTAGGAATTTTTGTCATGACAAACATCGGGTTTTAAAAGTCAATATTTACATTACTCTGATTATCATTTTCATGTGTTCATAAACGACTAATTATAATCAGCTCATAAGATCAGGATGTGACTTCAAACACATGTTAGGGTAAAGGCTGTGTGCTAAAGTGATTCAAAGTTGACAAAACTATAATTGGTAGGACCAACCAATCACCATACGTAACATGAACATTTCATTTAATGATTACAAAGAATTTCTTGATGTACATTATGTACCATCTTCGCTAGCCAAGTGTTCGCTTCGTATACACTCCACTTACCCTTGGCGGATATAGCCGTGTTTTTATAATCCCCCCCACTGCCACCTAGCGGATATACCGAGTTATCGCTCTTTTCCCAAAAAATATTTAACCAATCAGAATGACCGTTACATACACACACCATCGGTGTGTTGACATAAGCATGTGTATGTCGAGGCGGAGTATAAATGACAGCAATATGGAAACAATCCAAAAGCAGCACACATATTTTCCCAGGTCATTATTTACATGTGGCACGTAGTCAAGGATTTCCACCAACTGATTTAACACTCCAGAAGTTTTCCAAAAGATTGTGCGCCTATTTTTTGGGGGCAAAACTCTCTGACATAAACGACAATGTGCTTCCGTACAGGGAGTCACCATTACTGTTTTCCTTCGTCAACAGCGCTATATGTAAGACGCCATTTCATTAGATGCGAGCGATTGGCATCACACGAAAATTTGAAGACTCGGTAAACACGTCTATATCCGACAAGGGTAAGTGGAGTGTAACGAAGTGAACACTTGGCTGGCGAAGATGATTATGTACTTAAAAACAGTTAAAACTAAAATGAAATATTCGTTAATGAAAATTTCCTACTTGAACTTACTTCTTCAGTGAGTTAGTGACCAATAGATGCACATCCTGTCGCTCATCCAACAACAACATGGCACCAAGATAGCCAATCCTTTTGTCTGTAAACTTCGGGGAGGCAATCAGTTTCAAACATTCCAGCTGAAATTACAATTTAAAGAGTTCAGAAACAACTTTGACTTTAAGAGACAATCCACAAATTATAGCAAAACTTTTGATAAGTGTCAAAGAGATATGATCTCAAGCTTTACTGGGCAACCAATTCAAAGGGCCAATTCAACATCTAAGAAGACAGCACCAAAAGGAAAGAGTAGATAAGGGAAGCAAATAATGAGCAAAAAGTAGATAACCGAATACAGGTGCTAGTCCCTAACCCTAGCCTACATAAAGAAGGGAAGACCAGTTTGGTCAGTGATAACCACATATCAACAGAGTAGGAGACAAAGTAGTAATTTTTGTAGAGTATTTTTTGAGGCAAGTCCAGAACATTTTTTCCCAGACTTTTGAGGAGTCCCATTGCTAAGAAATATTGTGGATCTTCAAAAAAACCCACATTGAGTTCCACAGGAAAAGCATGAGTCCAGAGTTCTTAAGTCACTGCAAAGATTTTTGTACAATATGTATACTCCGACAACCATGTAATATTTTATTCTCAAACACTGTTTTCATTGATCAGAGATCATTTTGACAGGACAATTACTGTGCTTGATATATCTAGTCATGTTTATGTCTAAATTCATTGTTATACTCTTTCTCATAGGCACAATTTACTTCTGAATGTAAAGTCTTCCATAATGTAACCTTACAAGCTTGTACAACATAAGTGAGCTATACCACATCGGTTTTGCTCGCTGTTACATCAAATGGTACTGAGGTACTGGTCAGGCCTAGGAAAACTTGAATACCGAGGAATGACTATGCTATTTCAGGGGTTTCAATAAGATTCAAGTTGCATGTATCCAACATGAAGTAGTATAGGTGGTTATAAATTCAGTATATTTCAAAATACCTAATACAAGTCATCTAATTCTTTCATGAAAGTAGCAGGTGAATTATCTGTAGTAGGAGGGTACATTTTCCTCCTACTGAGGGTACTTTTTCCTCCTACTGGCTACACATGAAATCCCCGATACTTACTATTAACCACTAGATTCCAGTAAAATTTAAAGTCTCACCTGGCCAAAATGAGCAGGGTAACCCAACATGTGGATATAAAGAAGCTTGGCTAGGTTGCGACATCTGTATGTGTTATCTTGATCCCGAAAGGATTCCCGTATTGCTGCACATTCTTTCTGCACGACTCCGCGCTCATCGGCAGCTGTTCTAGCTGACCTTATTTCTCGTATTAGATCCCGAAGCCGCTTTGGAGTCGGCGTTGTCAGTGATCTGCAAATAAACAAGTTTCAAATAAATATATCCAGACCTGCTGTCGGGTTTGCTATTATCAGATTGGGACGGTTATATATGTATATAAACCATTTCAAAGGATATAATTTTTCATGCAATACGTCATCAGGGGTGTACAATTTCATTAGCCCGACGCTAGTATGTTCGGGCAAGCAAAGTTTTCATATTGTAATAGGAGGAAGAGAAATGCATGATCAGATCGGGATTTGGAGCTGTGGCCCTCTGAACTCTATACAAACACTCTCCCAATTGAGCTACCTGATCGCTGACTTTCGACCCTGTTCAGTTCCGCTAACATTATTGCAGGCAAATTTGTCACATAAGTAAGGGTTTTCGGTTAATTATTCGTCGCATGTATCAAAATGCTGACGAGCACCAGTACAGAAGAAGATTTGACTGAAATGCCTATAAATAAACATTGTTAAACACGTCTGAATGACGTCACGCAGCAACATTTGCGACGTCATCAGGCCTTCCTTGATTTTGCTCAAAGGTGCGGGCAGTTTCGCCATCTTCAAACATTTTACTAATTTACAAGTAATCTAAGTGTTTAAATGGTAAATTTTGTATGTTTATGTTTATGTTACACAAGTCGTATTGATACGAACAGCTCCAAATGTGTGTGTGTAACAATGATTAACATTGAAATGCATGGCTTTTCTTAACTGATAGTTATTTTTCGGTAACTTGAAGAAACTGATTAATGCTGTTTGAGAAAGATGGCTGGTATGGGCCGAGATGATGTCAATTTACATGGTACGCAATAAAGACCCAGTCCTGAACAAATATGAACTTCCAAATTGCTGCCCAACATAATATTTTAAAGCGGGTCTGGATGAGAGGGTCCAGGGCTTTCAAAGGTCGCCCCGCCCCCGCCTTTTGGATAATTCGTCACATGTACATCTCCTATCGTCTTGCACGTCAACGTCTGACAAATTAAAACGGTGTTTTGGACTTGAAAACTTATTCAACAAAGACTGTCCGACCATGTGTCGTAAATGTACTTATTTTTTCATGTAAAAATCGGTCTTTTGGTACACTTACTTCTGTCTCTATGTACAATCAGCATGCGATTGTACAGGAGTACTTTCAGGCTGATGACAAATTCTTTTCAGATATATAAATCTAGAAATTTCAAGATGGTATTTTAATTTAAGTGTTGTAAGATGGTTGAATGCTAGACGCAAACAATACTTTAAAAATGATACTGGTTGATTGTATTCTAAATACACATTGCATGAAAATGGAAAAAGAATTATCAAATTGCGGATCTTTCTGAGCGTCATTTCCATAAACACGCATTGGATCGTCAGTACATTGTATACATGTACCAAAGTACACTTGTAGAAAACAATTTACTTGCATTGATGGCTCAGTCGACCATTAACTGCAATTAGCGTTGAGATATATATGGGTATTTCAATGTGTATGTATGTGAATTTACACTAAATAACTAACTGGCCTCAGATTAACGAGCTTAATTGACGAGATGTCCGTAGCACAGATCAAATGTATATGATATGTTGTGTTTTAAAGATATTTCATAACTGTTCCCTTCTTATACCTCTTCTTGTGAAAATATTTGAAAGCTTTATCAGTGTTGAAGACTATGGTGACATTATTTACTTCACATCTTGTGTATCATGACATAATGACAGGGGTGGTCGGGTGTTGCAGTGGGTAGCGAACTTGCCTTTCAACAAGGTGGCCAGGGTTCGATTCCCCGACCTGACGTGAAAGGGTATGGGGTCACCTGCCTGACCATGTGGGTTTTCTCCGGGTATTCCGGTTTCCTCCCACACTAAGACCCCCTAACATCCGGGCCAACAAGAGTGATTAACATAAGTTGACATAACTTGTTTCATAATTGTTGTAAAATATATAATGTTTATATTTATGCGTTCTGACATGATATGGCATTTTCATCACAGGGTGGTGAATTTGCCTGCACTAATGTTACACTACTTACATGAAAAGAAAGGTTGGGCAATTAACAAATTTCAAAGTTAACCAGTAGGATAGCATTCTAAATACGAAATTGTATACCCCTTCATCATTATGCATTCTTGTAAAGTACACATGCAAATAGAAAATATCTGAATAAACTCAATTCAATCATGTGACATTTGTCAAGTGAAAATATTTTTTCTCCTGGACTCGAGATTTTAAATACAAAATGAGCAACTGAAAATCACGTTTACGCAAGATATATTGAATTTTATTGTTTTAAAATTCCTTTGTAGATCGTAGGTGATCAAAGTCAATTGATCATTACCGATCAATTAAACCACAGCCCCACCCCCAAACGTCATCTAAGCAAGTTTGCATAAATTTCATGCCATATTTCAGAATGTAGTACACAAGAACACTAATCAATATTGGCTCATAAGGCTGTAATAACAACAACATCACTGGTTAGTTGTTATCAACAACTGATATCTCATTCTGTACAACACCATACACTAGGAAGTTATCACGAAATAGGAGGGGGGGGGGGTGACCACAGGTAAACAAAATGCAAAAATATTTGGATGTTTATACCGCATCATCTGGACAGCTGGGCGTATTTCGTTCCACTTAGACAAAATCTAACGATGTCTTCCCTTGTGTGTCTGCATATGCTGAATAGCGATTCAAACAATTATAATTTCCAGCCGGTTTTCATTTATCATGGACAGGTAACATATCGTCATATGTCTTCAATATGGCTTCCTAAGAGACTTATCAACTTCCTCCGCTGTAAGAAAATAAACCCGAAAATCAATTGACCGGTTTTCAATATAGAAAGATTTGAAACATTCCATGTTAAAAATTCAACATAAATATACAAAAGCGAATTGATTGCGAATCAATCATACAAGTTTTAGTCTTTTATTCAATAATGTGTATTTATTTATAGGATGAAAAGTAGTTCTCGTTCGCCGTGGCAAGTGGACGTGACGTCACCTCACTTACGCCATTCAAGACAGATAACTCTAACAATACACATCTTCCAGCGTGTCAAGGTGATGTCATAATTAAATCTGAAAATTGACATGTCATTTCTTTTTCAATACTGTAATGTCAGTCAAATTATTTACATTTGTAAGGTTGTTGAAAACTTTGCATGGATAAAAGTCTGCATTTCTCTGTTATTTATTTATTTGTTTATTTATTTTAGCTTCCTTGACGAGGGTAGTAGTATAGGCTCATATCAGGTAAGGTACCGAATGCATCTTTATATAGATAGAAAATCAAATATTTACCATCGTATGGCATTGCCACTATATAACCCTACCAAATTCGGTTGACATTCATTTGAGCTATGAATGCCATGGACCGGAGTGTTGACGTCATCATTTTTGTGACGTCATAATTGTTACGTTGTTGGATACCACTGACCCTCCCTGTGCGATGGCTGTTCTATTCATTGAGCAAGCATACACGGTACATACATTATTTAAACTAAATGCTGAATAACAATAAATTAAATGTAATTGAATTTTCTATGAGAAGTATTATTGAACTGCTTTCAGTTCACTCCTTACACAACATCAATAATAATATGTTGCTTAAGCATATATCTCGTTCAATTTGGACTTTTACAACGCTCAAAATCAACCCTTCTTGCCAACTTTGCAGGTTGATAGATTTGTGTGTACACAGTGATAACAGCATATTAATTTAAGCATATGCATGAAAATTATTCCATCTGATTAAATTTAAATTGTTTTGCACCCCACCATATCTCGATCAGTCATAATCCAATATTGCTACGGAGTATTGATCGAGATTAACCACGGACTTAGATAATCTAATTCCGTGGATTAACTAATATGATTAACTATCTTGGCAACAAAACCCGATGTCTTCAATTTTAGAATGCTTTTAAGTCATTTTGATAGTTCAATATCTTTTCTATCAGCGACATATATAATTGTAATTTGTGTCTCTGTTTCTATTAATGGGCAACGTTTAAAAGATCTGTACATTGTTAATAGGTTGTTTACATATATTTCGAGTTTTACAGTTTGATTTTTGTATGATTTTTATGTTATAATAATACTATCCATAATTGAAAATAGAGTGTTATTAGTTTGATGTTTGGGAGAATGACTGGGTAACAAAGGAAATACGGAAATCTTTGCCCCTTTTTATCCCTCCCCTCTCTCCCGGCCGACTGTTTGGTCTCGGGGATATAAATGTTGCCCTAAAGTGACATGGTAATTTCATAATCGAAGCAAAAATGAAAAAAAAAAAAATCAGATTCATTTTCGTTAAAGCCAGGTGTTTTGAATGGTACAAATATGCTTTCTGATGCCGAGGCAAAATCCTGCTATATTCTTTAGGAAAGTTAGCAACATTTTCTTTTCTAATTTAGTGATTGTTACTGTGGGATATGTCATCCTCAGATTGTTCTCGTGTCTCATAGGATTGTGTGTATATACAGTAGTGCTATAGTTTTCTGCATAAACCCTTCCGACCGCGCATCTCAATACATTATACCTTTCGCGAGTAAGAACTGTGCATTGAATATTACTTACTGGCTTCATGCAAATGATAAACCTATTAAGCCTTGGAGCTGGACACGTGCGCATACTCAGTAACAGACAGTTGGTGTACATGTATGCTGTATGATTATAACGATATCATGCGCCTGTAAAACAGATAACGAATTACTATAACGTTATAGCTTGTACAATGTTAAGAAATAGAGCCGACTCAGTTGTATTTTCATTGCGGAGATGAGAGGAATAGTGATGAATTTAACATAGCTCTTAATCCCGATAAACACTTTATCACTCAAATTACCACACATTTGATGATCACACAACATTGAGGTTTATTAGGTAAAAGTGGTAGACACCAATTTAGGTATAGAATGAAAACACTGGTATATTAGAGGTACGGTGTTTGTATACCACAATATCTACTGCACTTAATTACGTTAACCATAGTGGTTCCAGGAATCTCAATATAAATGTGTTTTGTAAAGCCACGTAAAGACGAAATACAAATATTATTATATCTATTTCAAGTGCCGTTAAGGTTCAAAAAGCCCTTAAAAAAGTTTAATATGGTTATCCTAATTTTCTATCCATTTATAAGTCGTACTTGAAGACCCCAATCAATCATCAGAATTCATGTAAGTCGAACCTCGTTATACTTCGAGTTGTCCGAGTATTCGAGTTATGCGGGTTCATAAAATTTGTTTTGAAATTTGCTGTTTGGACATAGCACTAGCAGTTGTTGATTTTATTAATAGCCAATGCTTGTAATCAATAGATGAATGATATACGTAATCCATATAACAAATACAGGTATGTCCACGCTTACAAAAATAGAGTAAGTAATTTCCGAAAAACATACTTTCGTTTAACGCCATCAAAACGGTTGGATCCCATTGTGTATTCGTTATTAAATATTAACGGGCCTAGTGATTAAATTGTTATTTTTTGGCTATAGTCTAGATCTTGTATGTAACGTGGATATATTGAACATGTACGCTAGTTTTTAATATGGTAGCTAGCCAAGTTTACCTAATAATAGGTCATTAGGGCTGATGTCTTAATGGAAATAGCTCACCGCTATTTTAATTTTGCGACTCAACTAAATGTTACGAAATGACATCGAATGCTCATTATTGGTCATGCGGAGAAAAATTTCTATATTACTAGCTGTGGAGAAGCCGCAAATGAAGATAGATCCTGCCACAAGAAACCACAAACATCGTAGTAAAATTCCCCACTCATATATATCTTAGCAGACTGTGGATAACAAATCGAAGGCTAAGTGACCTAGATTGTTATAAACCATAACCAAAAGTGCTTAAATGTTTATAACAGTTTTATTTTATCTTTAGTTTTATAACAATAAATGTTACGAAAGGACACTTTTTTATAAAGTTACTCTATTCATTACGGTAACAAGACCATTGGTTTTACATTTACATAGCCGTAGAATATGTTACTGGAACATTTATTTCCTAGCATTCAATTGGATCGAAAAAGTGATTGACAATTAACTACAATGTATTTTTATGAAGACATTGTCCTTAATGCCTTTTCACAGACTAAGTTAACGTCGCCTTTTACCATTTTGATAGCTAAAGCAAATGTTTAATGCCCCCAAATTGCGTATCAGAATTTCGATGTTTAATTGGGATCAACAATATATGGGTGAAATTCTGGTGTAACCATAATTTGTAAGAGTTACCTCCCTTAAGTCGTGCGCCATGTGTTCTCCTTTTAACGCATTTTGATAGAACTTTAGAAAACTGTTGATATAGGAAGACAAAGACAGACCAATTATGGTACATATCATAATTCCTTCTTTTCACAGGTATTTTACATGTGTAACATATATCAGTTTTTGGTTGCCATCTTTTGGAAGAGTTGCATTGTCAATTGGTTTAGGATTGTAAGGAATAATGAAATACAGATAGATCAATTGCGTATTTCATATGCACTCGTCTTTCTAACGTGATCGTATAATAGACCGAAAGTATTTACAAAAAATCCCCCTAATTTTCCAAACATCATTTACATTATTACTCAGCGTCAACACACACTTATTAACTATACGTCAACGTTCAATTAATCTATGTCAACATACACTTACGCTACGTCAACATATACACTTACCCTAAGTCAACAGGACCCTCTGCAGACGACTAGTTAGTTTGTCAGATATACCAAAGAGCAGGGCGTTACCATAATTAATCCAACCGAGGGGTAACAAGTGAATGCACCAAAATCTTGCATGCATCTGCAGTTAAAAACTGCCGAATACAGCCGATGTTCCTGATCTGGTAGTAACAGGATTTGGCAATAGCGTTCACTTGTTTCTCCATGTTCAGTGAACAATGTCAATGTCAATGTCAATGTTCACTTACTCTACGTCAATATTCACTTACTCTACGTCAACGTACACTTACTCTACGTCAATGTTTATTTACTCTACGTCAGCGTTCACTGACTCTACGTCAGCGTTCACTGATTCTATATCAGCGTTCACTGACTCTACGTCAATGTTCACTTACTCTACGTCAACATACACTTACTATACGTCAATGTTCACTTACTTTACGTCAATGTTCACTTACTCTACGTCAATGTTCACTTAATCTACGTCAATGTTCACTTAATCTACGTCAATGTTCACTTACTTTACGTCAACGTACACTTACTCTACGTCAACGTACACTTACTCTACGTCAATGTTCACTTACTCTATGTCAACTTTTTCCTACTCTGCGTCAATGTACACTTAATCTACGTCAACGTACACTTACTCTACGTTAAAATACACTTACTCTATGTTAACATACACTTAATCTACGTCAACGTACACTTACTCTACGTCAATGTTCACATACTCTACGTCAACGTACACTTACTTTACGTCAATGTTCACATACTCTACGTCAACGTACACTTACTCTACGTCAATGTTCACTTACTCTACGTCAATGTTCACTTAATCTACGTCAATGTTCACTTACTCTACGCCAATGTTCACTTACTCTACGTCAACATACACTTACTATACGTCAATGTACACTTACTCTACGTCAACATACACTTACTATACGTCAATGTACACTTACTCTACGTCAACGTACACTTACTTTACGTCAACGTACACTTACTCTACGTCAACGTACACTTCCTCTACGTCAATGTTCACTTACTCTATGTCAACGTTTTCCTACTCTGCGTCAATGTACACTTAATCTACGTCAACGTACACTTACTC